TGTCTCTCAGTGAGTTTATTGTTCATGTCTAGGAATACTACTGATTTTTAAGTCTTGATTTTGTTTGACAACAATGGTGTTGTTTCCCTAATTTCTATCCATGAGTTTCTTATTCATGTACAGGAATGCTATTGATTTGTAAGTGTTGACTCTGTATTCTGCTATGCTTCCAAAGTTGGTTATTAATTCTAGGACTTTTTGGTGAGCTTTTTGGGGTCTTCTATGTAGAGTATAATGTCATCAGCAAATAATGATAATTTAACTTCTTCCTTTCCTATCCATATTCCTTTTATTTGTTTCTATTTTCTAATTGCTCAATTAGAAAAATGATCCCAGCACTGTATTGAACAGGAGTATTGATAATGGGAATTTATCTCTTGTCCTGATTTTGGAGGAAAAGCTTTCAGTTTTGACCATTAGGATGTTGTTGCTTATTGATTTGTTACAGATGACTTTTATCAGATTGAGATTAAGATCTTTTATTTCAATTTTATGTAGGTTTTTTTTTATCATGAAGGGGTATTGAACTTTGTCAAATGCTTTTCCTGCAGCTATTGAGGTAATCATGTGGCTTTTGTCCAAAAAAGTCTTATTTTTATAATTCAAAATATTTTCTAGAATTGCGAGTCTCTTTTTACTAAACTTTTAACAATGGAGTACACATTCAAATGTTATTGCAGGACACACACTTCAAGATCATCTTTGCACAAACCTTCCTTATATTTAAATTGTTTTGGTTTCTTCTTCAGAAAAGAAGCCAAAAATCTTACTCCTTCGATGAGCTCTATGTGCTCAGACCTATGTATCTAGCATTATTTTCACCAGCATAACCTTAATTCTGTGTCCTTCACTTTTGAATGTTGGGAGATTTTTTTTTTATTTTCATTCTATATTACTAATGATATTTTCTGCAGGGTCATTTACTGCCTCTAAAGCAGATTTTTAACCATATAGTTACAGTCTGACATCTTCATCTCTTTCTTATCTTACATACCCCCTGAATCAACTATACTGACTTTTTATCTCAATCTGTTTGCTCCTTAAGACTATTTCTCCCCTCTTACAAAATTATTATGTGGGTGGCATAACACCTCCCAACAGGAGGTGTTATTCTCTCAATGAGAATCTTATATAATTTTTGAAAATTTTCTTCTATTTGTTGTAATAAATCATTTCTAAATGTCATTAGGATGACATAGGGCTAGAGAACTCTTGGTCATATCACAAAGGAGCAGGTCTTCCTAAGAGATGGCAGTCCAGCTTTCTCATTGTCACAAAGTGGTCCCACAGCAGGACCAAATGGAAAACAAACATGGTTCATTTTACTTTCAGCAGTGCCAGCATCAATGCAGTTTGGTTGTTGATGTTTAGTTCTAATGGGCTAATATTTTGCGTAAATCTTCCCCAGGAGTCCCAATCCCCAATTTCATGATGTAAGTTTTCTTCTTTTTCTGTATTCTTGGTATTTCAGTAGAAAAGTAAGAAAACTTATATAAGAAGCTCTTCATTATATGATGATATCTTATATTTGGAAGCCTTGACTGCAATGATTATTTGGCCTCTGGAAATTATTTTTTCAAACCTGTCATTATTTTATTAAGTGAAACAAATGTACACCCTTTTGTAAAGAATTTTTTTCCCTCGAAATGGCCCAAACACTTCATAAAATTGTCCCGTTATTTTTAAGACCTGAAATCTTAGACTAACTTTGTGGTATCTTATTTTAACACTCTAAAATATATTCAGAGTAGTTCACCTCGACATGCTTGAATGCTGAATATTTTATGCTTGGACAAAGAGCAAACTGTAAGTCTTTCGCCAAGCACAGTCAATGCACTTGAGTATGGGTTACCAAAAATGCTGAAGAATTTTTTTTTTCTATTTATTGTTATAGCTCAAATCCTTGTGTCTCTTGTAGGCTTTAAGTGACATAAATATGCATTTCCATCTGCACATCCTTGTCAGGAATAGTTCTGCTGGGAGGTGTTATGCCACCCAAGTACTTCCAGAATAGAGTCTGTTAATCCTGTTACCACTATAGAAATTCAGAGGAAAAGTCTACTCAGGCCACTACTGCAGCTGCTGTGGCTGTAAACCTTCCAGCAACCACACCCTGGTACCAAAACGAAGCACAAGGAAACTGAATTCTTTCAGTAGGAAAGAGACTCGGAGTGCTGACCTCTGTGTATTACTTGCAGCAGCAGTCTCCAAACTTTTTATTAAAAACATTTACAGTAACAAAGGAGGAACATAGCAGGCCCACATAATATATTCATATATACACACACATGCTTACACATTTAGTGGGCACACACGCTACCTATCATATTAACTGCAATACGCATTACAAAATAAGCAAAAAGAACTATTATGCTCAGATTTAACAGTAGAAATAGATGTTGTAATCACACTGGATAGACTTGTGCCTCCTCCCAGGTATATAAATGCCACTTTGGAAACCACCAGGCTAAACCTCTACCAGGCAGGCCACCAAGAACATAGATCTTAAACCCTCAGTTAGGCCTTTTGACAGATTCCATAATACAACTGGGCACAGAGAGAGGGAAAAGTGTTACAGACAAGCATGTGCTTGGCTTTTCCCTTCCCTCTCTCCCATTATCTTTTGCCCTTTCTCCAGTGTGGCCTGACTTCTGGCCTCTCCAGGCATCTGTATTGATCTTAATTCTAGTCTATAGTTCAATAGATGCAGCAAGATAGATTCTAACCAGTCAAGAGCTAGGGACCTATGTATGGGGAACGTCCTAAGACCATCAACTGATATCACTTCCCAAACTTCAGTACTCAAAGATAAGTACCAGCTAAATAAACCAAATCTAATCACTTGTAACTCAGGAAATATTTTCCAACATGAATTCATTGATGTAAAACTACAAAATATTTCAAGTTCTCAATTCTACATAACAAAGGGGTTGTCTGAATTACCAAGAATCTAGTCATGGAAAAAAAGTCCCAGTGAAAAGCTGGGAATGTGCGTATGGAAAAACCTACTCTTATGAGTGACAGACTGTTTATTCAGCTGTAGGGAAGTGGACACTTGAGTCTAAGTTCCTTCCCAGTTGATAAAAATAAATTAATTTAATGGTAAAACCTAGAATTGGCCACAGAACAATAGGCAAACTCTTTTCAATCACTGTCATAATTAGTAAAAATTTTGACACAATCTCTCTAGAAGGCAATTAGCAAATTATATTAAGAACTTTATAGATCTGGCCATTAATTCAATAGGTGCTTTCCTACAGATTGAATTACAAAAACAGAGATTCACAAAAATAATATTTGTTTTGAGAGTATTTATGATAGCAAGAACTAGAAACAATCTGCATTTGTGTTGAATAGGGAATTAATGATTTATGACATACTATACATATTATACATTCTTTGATTCCTACGTATGAGTAGCTACTGTACCTTAGGGATTCTTCTAGTATGTAGCAATTAATAAACACAGAAAAATCTCAAATAAAGGTAGCATCTTAGTCAAGGAAGGAAAAAAGGTATAAACTATAAGCAAGTAAGCTAATAAAAATATTTTTGGACATTAAAAAGCACTACTAAGAAAATGAAGCTGAGTGATAGAATAGAAACAGCTGGTGTTAAGGGGTATGTGATCACTTTATACAGCAGTTAGAGTCTCTCCACGTCGGCACTATAGATATTTGAAACTGTATTCTTTATGAGTTTTGGTGGTCAGGAAAGGAGATCCTGTGCACCACACAATGTCTAGCAGCTTCCCTGGCCTTTGCCAACATAATGCTGGTAGCATCCATCCCATTTTTGACAGTGAAAAATGTCTCCAGACATTTCCAAATGTCCCTTTGAGAGGCAAAATCTGCCCTAACTGAAAACCTCTGCTTTAAATTGTGAAAGGAAAATCTTCTGGGAGGACATAACATTTTACTGAAGACTTGAGTATATTTTTAATAATCATTAGAATGTAGGGAAATGTTTATGATAGAATGGTAACATAAATAATATATGGAATGAGATCCCAATATGATAGAATGGTAACATAAATAATATATGGAATGAGATCCCAATATATGGTTCTTAAAACTATATGAACACACAGCATAGTGTATTGGTTAGGAGCATGGAGTTGGATCTGGGCTGCCTTAGTTAAAATCCCAGCTCCATTACATACTGAAAGTGTGACCTTGGGTAAGGTTGGTTATTTTTTTGTGTTTTTTTTTGTTTTTGTTTTTGTTTTTGTTTTTGTTTTTGTTTTCCAGTACCAGGGATCGAACTCATGACCTTGTGCTTGCCTGGCAGGCGCTGTGCCACTAAGCTAAATCCCCAGCCCCAAGGCTGGTTATTTTACATCCCTGTGCTCTTATGTAATCCTGGGAAATATGAGGATGGCACTGGTAGCATCTACTACATAGGGCTGATGAAAGTATTAAATTGATTTATATATGAAGAGCTCTTAGAA